CCCGAGTCATGCCAAAACCAGATGGCATCTCCCTGTTCACCCCTTGCATTGGTTCCCCAGTCACAACTGCCCCCTCTGCTGCCTCTGCCCCTGTCTGAGGGGGACTTTGCCCCTCAAAACACAGGAGCCTGCTCTCCCTTGCAGAGGGGCAGAAAGAGGCAAAACACCCCCAGGAGAAAGGTCATGGTTGTTTTTTCCCCTCTTTCACCCACCCCAATTTGCATTTCTCTCTCGGTTCCCTCGCGGCGGGTGGGTGCCCTGCCCCAGCCCTGACACCCAGCTGCATCCTCCCCACGGAGCCCCTGGTAGCAAACAAGATGAGGAGCAGGAAGACTTTGAAGTGTGAAGAACAAAGGTCAGATAGTTCCACCCCCAGGCAGGAGCTAAGCCCCGAGGGCAGCACAGAACATTCCAATGGCTCCAATACCACCAGCCAAAATCCTCATGTGATCCTGAGCCAAGGGACATCAGCTCGTCACAAATCTCCAGGAACAGCTTCCCCCATGGGAGTGGCTTATGGAGGGGAACAAATAATGAAAATAATCAAAATACTACTACTAATTTGGCATCTGCATATCATTAAAAAGCAGGATTGGCTCTCCCTGCCTGCCTCAGCTAGGCTCTGGGGGAAGCCAGCACTGAGGGATTGCTCCTCATCAGCACAGGGTTGAGCCAAAGGAACGACTGTGACAGAGGGGATGGCCGGCACAACCGGTTTTTCACCTAAAAATCAACCTTGGCAGATCAGATCCAACACCCATCCGGCAAGGGGATCCCCTAGGGGTGGCTGGAGGAGACATGAGCCACTGCTTCCTACAACAGGGGGGCATATGTTGGTCCTTGGGGGCACCAGACTGTGCCCAAGTATCGCTCGCCTCTCTGCCTTTGCTTCACCTTCCACAAATCCAGCCCTTGGATGCTGCTGCTGACCCCATTTCCATGCTGGGGGAAGGAGCACCCCGCTTCACCAACAGGTTTTCCTTCCCTGGCTTTCCCATAAGTGATCCTTGAGTGCTTCCAAAGGGAAGGCAGCACCACGTCAGGCTGCCGGGACTCGCCCACCTCCTAGTGTGTCTCCTCTCCCCCTTTCCTGCCACCAGTGCTGCCTTGTAGGATTTCCTCAGGAAGGAGCTCCTGAAGGCTCACACACACAAAACAATCAGCTCTAAACAGCCCAAACACTGAGCTGTGCCCTGAGCAGACACATACCACCCTCCTCCTCACCTCACACAGGTCCCTTAGACCACAGCTTTCTCAACAAGCATCCAGCAGCACTTGAGGAGGCACCTGAGGACCCCCCTCAATCCCCACCTCAGCATTCTTCTTGTCTAAGCACCAGGGAGGGATGATCCTGCAAATCCTGGCTCACCTTGGCAAGCCCAGCTGCAAAGCCACCCAAGTGATGGGCAGGCACGAGGCACCCCCAAAATCTCACCAGCTTTGGGGCATTTTCCCTAAGAGCAGCATTTGCCCCCATCCCTGCCTACATGGGACTTAGCCCCAACACTTAAGGGCAGCCCCAGGTGGGACCTAGGTGGGATGGGACACCTGAGCCCAACCTACCCTCAGAGCTCCCCCTTCCTGGACGGGACAGAGCCCAGCCTCGTACAAACGAGGGAGAGCAGGGGATGAAGAAGCTTCTCCTTAAACACCAGTTTTGTGTCTGTCGTCCACTCGTGCGTCAAGAGTCACCATCCCATCCCACCCCTCCTCCTCATTTTCCTCCAAAGCCAGAAAATCCATTGCTACTGCTAAATACCAAGAGCTGCTATTTTTATCCAGACCACGACCAGGGCGTGCGTTATTTTTGGTGTTTAAACTGCAGGCTTTTTTTGTGGGAGGGGGAGAGGGAGGGGAAAAGGCAGAAGCATGGGGGAAAAATGAGAGGAATGTTTCTCTGGGAGCAGAGTTTTCCATTGCTTACTTTAAGCCAGACTAGTGTCTGCAAATAGAAATCACCACCAGAGAGCAGAGGAAGCAGCTGGGAAAGAAAGGTGTGATCATGTCTGCAGTCACTCTACCACTCCCACCATACTGAGAAAACCCCAAACAAACTGACCCTGGGTTCCAGCTGCGTGTTATCAAGGAGTAAAGCTCACAGCTGTGTAACAGGGCAAACTGGTAACAAAATTAGATTAATCCAATGAAATAAGGGGGAGCCAAGAGAGTGTTTCTATCTATCTATCTATCTATCTATCTATCTATCTATCTATCTATCTATCTTCAGTGTAAAATGAGTAGTGTTTTCAAAATCAAATTAGGGGTTGAGGGGGGCCTCAGGAGGAAATTGAAGTTATCAGGGTGCTTTTTGGCATGGGAAAGGCTTTGATATCACATGGAAATAAGGATTTTGGGAAGGATGGATGGAAAACAGGAGCTGGAGGTGGGATTGGATTTCCAGTTGGTCCGAGGCCTGGGCTCAAACTGACATCCCATGAGGTGACAGGAGCTTGCCTGTCATGGGCTCCCTCAGTTCCTGTGCTTGAAGGGCACCAGCAAGCAGGGAGACAATCTGGAGCTGCAGTGATTCATCAGCAGCTGAGTCACGGCTTCCTCTCGCCCATTAAAGTTTCTGAGAAACAAAGCACGATTCCTTGGATCCCAGATACGCTATGTGCCAAACAAAACAAGGAGGTGGCAGGTTCAAAATCCCTGCAAATGTACCTTTTTTTTCACGCCGCATGGGAAGGAGCCTTGGCACACCTTGCTGCAGGAGACAGCCACAGGGTCAAGCATCACATACTGTTTAAATTCAAAACAGCTCCTATAGACCACTATGGAATTTGAGTTGGAGTTGGGAGGGACCTTTACAGGTCAGATATGGGGAGGAAGATGCTGGCTTAGAGCAGTGGGACTGATTATATTTGTATATTCTTGCATTAATTCTCAGTTTCTTAAAGTCTATCTGATGCTTCCCAGCTCAGTTTAATGGCATCAAGACTCCTTCACAGGTAGCAGCATTCCAAGACATCAGCACTAGCAGTGCCACATCACCACAGCACTCCTGCCTGAAGCCAAGAGGCTGCCAAGGCACCGTGTTCAGGGGGGCCCCCGAAAATCCGGGGAAGGTGCAAGGCCAGCAGCCCCTCCCTTGTCAAGGCCTCTGCCAAATTAAATTAGTGATAGGGAAGTGTGGAGCCCCAGTGAGGCTGTTTGCCCAGGGAATGAAGCAAATATCTCAGGTGCCAGGGACAGGCTGGGCTTTCACTTTCCCGTGCTCAGGGACAGGCACCCTGAAGCCTAATGCTTCCAGATATGCTCACCCTCAGAGAGCTCTGATAATAAATATTTTTACTCAATCCTGTTAGAGGGAGTTCAAAGGTGGCATTGTGCTGTCTGGTGCTATAGAGTGGTCAGGTACCCCTCAGGTGACTGTCAGCAGCCAGGTGGCTTCTGTGTGCCCTGGGAAGGGTGTTTGCATAGGGGGATTTGGTACCGCAAAAAAGGGAATGGCTGCAGCTCAGTGAGGGGGGAGAGCTGGGATGCAGGGGGTGGGATAGAGTCAGGGATCAGTGGAGAAATAGGATGGGGTGAGCTGGGACACGGAGAGATGGGATGGAACAGGGTGAACTGGGATATGAGAAACTGGGATACAGGAAACCACATGATGCAAAGCCCAGGAATCTTCATCCTCCAGCATAAAATCAAGGGAAAAGTTCCTGGTACTAAGCAGCAAATCTTTAGGGAAAATTTGCTTGGTGTTTCCCACAGGACATAAACACCTTCCCCAAGGGTATGAGGAGGCACTTAGCACAAGCTGTAGCCTACAATGTGTGTTTCTGAGTATCTCTCACCTCTCCAAATCCAGCACTAGGGTGAAGGCAGCAGAGGATGGCAGCCAACTTACTTCCATCCCTCCACTCTCCTCTGTATCCCTCTTCTCTCCTATTCCCAGCCCTGCATTGCTCCTGGTGCTGCCAAGTCACAGCACTGGGAACATGAGGCTGTTTTCCAGGAGCCTTGAAGGGTCAGATAGCTCTGACTAGCCCAGCTCCACAAGGCAGCACCAAGGCTGAAGCGGTAAAGCCAAGCCACTGGCTCTGGCACATGAAGGAGGGCGAGGAGGGCAAATGTGGGGATTTTGCAATCCAAAAGGATTCAGTCCAACCAGAAAAATTCCAGCAGAACATTTTTCTAGTTGCAGCTTGCCCAGCTGTCAGCACCACAACACTGTGTGGAGGCCATAGGGCCCTGGACCGGAAAGCAGCCGGGATTCAGCAATTTCTGGGTATCACTGCCATGGTGTTAAAAAAGAAACAAGTGAGAGAGAAAGTAGCAAGTGAAGAGTGGGGGTGGCAATCCCGATGGAACTGGATCACAGTTTGAAAATACTGAATGGCAGAATCATTTAAGTCAAAAAAGCCCTCTCAGGTCATCAAGTCCACCCTTAACTCAGCAATGCCAAGGCCACACTAAACCCTGCACAGACAGGGATGTTTCCCAGGCTGAAACATCCATCGTTATCCATGGTAGTACAGCACCCACAACGCTCCTGGCTGCTGCATCACCTCGGCAAACCCTGGGGATGCTCCATCACCTCCTGCCCGGCTGCAGTGTCCCCTCTCCAGGGACAGAGGGTGGGTGTGATGGCAGGCCAGCAGTGACAGCACGCAGGGCGCAGGTGGCAGGGAGCAGGCTGCCGGTGCTGAGGGGGTCCAGGGCGGTACTCCTGGCACTGCTCCGAGCCGCAGCTCGACCCTGCCCTCCCCACCACGGCAGCGGCATCACTGCCCTGAAGCCCTCCCTGCTGCCTCCCAAAATCGCTTCTGGGAAATCCTTGGCCGCACCAAAGCCCGGCGAGCCACACACTTGGCTCCCTCCCTTTCCCCACAGCAGGTTCGCGGCTGGTTTGTGCCCGGTCCCTGCCTCTCTCCCGGCCCAAATCCCGCGGCCCGGCCCCACGGTGTGTGCGCGCCCCGCAGCGCGGGTTCCGGCGGGGGGAGCCCCAGGTGGGGCCGGCGGGCGGCGGGGCCGGCCGGGGGCGGAGGCGGCGGGGCGGGCCCGGCCCATTCCCCGGAGCCGCGCGCCGGGACCAGCGGGCGGGACGGGGCCGCGGCGCTGAGGTAGGTCGGGGGTCCGGGGAGTACCCGGGAGTGGGCTTTAGCCTCGCTGCTGTGTTACTCAAATCCAGGGCTTTTCTCGCCTTTTATTTATGGTTTTTTAAGGCCACATCGTCTGCTTCGCGCAGCCCGCGGGGAGGGGGTGAGAATGGGGACTGGGGAAAGAGCGATGAGCAGCAAGCAGCTCTCAGGGACGGGTGTCTGGGGCAGTCTGCCTGGCACCCGGGTTTGGGGCACCCAAAACCACTGTGGTTTTGAACACCACAGGTCCTAGGGCGGGTTGACTGGAAGAGACTTTCAGGACACCTCGTTCCAACCCCTGCCATGGGCAGGGACACCGTCCACTAGATCAGGTTGTTCCAAGCCCTGTCCAACCTGACCCTGAACGCTCCCAGGGATGGGGCAGCCACTGTTTCTCTGGCAGCCCCCTGAGCTTTTTGTAACCAAAGCCACAAGTGATGGAGCGCAGGGAGGGCCACGGCTGGGGCTGCTGCCCGCCCGGACAGGCAGCACTGCCCCTGCCGTAGTTTGGAGGAGCCCAGGATGGCTCTGAGGAGCTCCCAGTGCATCGGGGATGACAGTGGCTCTCACTAAACTCAGAACTGATCTTTTGGCCGCAGTCTCGGTGATGCGGGGGCCGGCGGCAGCCGCGCGTGTGCAGACGGTGGTGCCGAGTGGGCTCCAGGCAGCGGCTTGCAAAATAGTTTCACTTTAACCCTCTTATCCAACATCCGTATCAGTAGTTTTCCAAATCACTCCCTTTAGGGAATGAAAGCATTTACGCGTGGCTTCTGGCAGGAAGGTTTGATGGTGGTGGGAACGAGATGGAGCTTCAGCTGGTCGTGTTTGCTGGGTGGTGGCTTTTGGTGTTTGTCTTTTACGTTTGAGGAAGGTCTCTGTAGCCTGCTGCGAGTTCTGGGAGACGGGCAGCAAAACCCTTCTTAGTCACCATTTCCGAAACAGCAACGTGCAATCCCTGCTAAGGAAACTGCTCACACTGGGTGTCAGGTTTCATCCAGTTTTCCTTTAAGTCTGCAGGTGCAAGCAGGGAAAATAGGTGCCACTGTGTGACAGCATAGCTGTGTCCCTGCTGGGTGGATCAGGGAGCTCGCAGGCTGTAACAAAAATTAGCCTCTCCCTGCCTGAGCCACAGCTGTCACTGCAATGGAAAGTTGGTATAAAGCTGACATAAAGCCAGTAACAGACGGAAATGGTTGTTTAATAATGCGATTCCTGCTTTGCACTCCTTAGCATCGACTGCACGAAGTGTGGTCTCATCTGCATGAGGGAAATGGGGGTGGCTGTAGGTCAGTTGATTTCATGTCACCTCCACAAGTCCTGAGTTGCAGCTGGCCACAGAGCATGGGAGTGTTGAAATAATCCAGAAATACTTGGGGCACACCCCACAGGTCAGCTGGCCCCAGAGCTGCCGCTGCTCTCCCTGTGGATGCAGGGAGCACCTTGGAGCAGCCTCACTCCTGCCTGAGTCAGGCGGCATCTCACCTGAGAGGAGCAGGTTGAGCTTTGTTAGGTTGGAGGGAACCTCATGAAGACATAAGAGCCTGTTGAGGGTTGGACCTAAAGAACTTAACTAGCAAAATGACCTCCAGCTCTCTCCCCTCTGCCACGGTGACACAGCCTAGCAGTTTCCACCAAACTGCAGCTTTTCTGCAAACTCTACCTCCATCCCCAGTCGCTGCGGTTGCTCTGCAGTGCACAGGATGTGGACAAGCCAGTATTGCCAAGGCAACACCCTCTGTTTTGGTTTCCCCATGCACAGGCTGGCAGCCTTTACCCCTCCAGCTCAGCCAGGCAAGCCCTGCATGCCAACAGTTTGTGGTGCCATCGCAAGCCATCCCTCAAAAGGACCTTATTTTCCACCCACGGCCTCCCATAACTGCAGAGGAGTGGCAGATGCTCCCCACCCTTGCAAACCAGCTCTTTCGAAGGCAGTGTGGATTAAAGAGCCTCATGCTGGATGTGCAACATTGATTAAAACTTACACAAGTGGCACGAAGCCCTGTCATGCAGAGCTGCCATCAGTTGGAGCCATCCATCCCTGGCCACAGGAGTTCCCAGGCCAGTTTCCATGTCAGCTTTCCCCTGGCTCTGCCAGCACCAAAAACAAAGAGCCCATTTAGCAGGATGCTTCACAGCCCTCTCTGAGACACAACCCAATACCTCCCTGGCCCTGTTTTTTGGTCCCATCTCTTGACCCAAAAACCAGCTGACCTCCCAATGGCAGCTCCACATGCTTGCAGCAAGCAGTTCACGCCCATCCTGGACCACAGCATGCAAGCAGCTCTCCATGTTCATCCCCCCTCCCTAAGGTGAGATGTCACACCAAATTGAGCAGCAGCATGGATATTCCTAAATGCAGCTCCTCATGGTGCACTCAGGTTTTCAGCTGGCAGTGGGTGGCCTTGGGTAACCCCTCTGCCCTTGGAGTTGCTGCTTCCAAACACATCAGTTTTCTACTTTCCCCTCCCCCCCCATTTATTTTATATGAAACTGAAGAATCCCATTATTTAGCACACAGGCATCCCTTCATCTACAAAACAAAAAGCAATGCACACCCCAGAAAGAAAAGGCATTTGAAAACCAGCTGCATGGCCGTGCTGGAAGATGGCCCTGGGATTTGGGTGCTGCTTGGTCAGGGCAGGGGCAGGTACCTCCACCTTCCCCTTCCAAGGGATGCACATTCGGCTTGCCCAGGGTGGCCACATGTCCCCAGCTGGACACTTCCCAGTGACAATCAGCCAGGGCTACTGCAGTGCATTCAGCTCCAGTTTAAAGTGGAAACATATCAAAGGGCTTTGCTTTTTTTTTTTTTTTTCCTCCCCCTTCTTTTTTCCTCTGCAAACAATTAATTACAAGTTTAAAAGGAAGTTCCAGCCCTCCTTCCCTACCCAGAAGTTTAGAGGCAATAAATATAAAGCAGTTCAGTGCAGGAATAAAACTGTACATCCTGTTTTGTCTGAAATTAAGGTGGTTGTTGTTAGGGGATTGTTTGGATTTTTTACTTCTTTTTTGGAGTCCAGTGTATCATAAGCATCCTGTATTCCTGCCTGGATAATGAGCTGTCAGGATACTTATGGATAAGTGGCAAACCTGCAGCATGTGGGTGATAACACTGAAGAAAAGCTGCTCTGTTTATTTATGTTGCAGTGTAACCTTTACTACAGCTGCCCCCCAAAAAAAACCTAGGTGAAGATGAAGGCCAGGACAGGGAGCAGGCTTTAAGAAGTGGCTCTCACTTATCTCCCCTGTGAGCAAAAGCAGATCTGGGATGCTCCCAGTTGTCTCCAGGCAGGGGGTAGGCAGAGGTTGTGTGAGATTTGAGTCTCTGAGTGGTAGCCTGTGATTTCTCAGGTGGGGATATTGATGATATTTCTGTCCTCCGTTGAGTAGTGGAATGAGGGAATGTAATGAACAGCCAGTTTTGATGCAGCAGACTGGACAAAAATCCAGTAATGATAATAATAATAATAGTAGTAGTAATAACAGTAATAATAATAAACTTCTTCCAGCCAAAGCTAAAACCACCTCCCAGAGCACCGCATTTCATTTGGTAAATCTCAAATGATAATTTTTTAGAAAGGCACCCAGAGAAATTCATGTTCAAAAGAGAAACCAGCAGCTAATTGGGGCCAGCTCAGCTGTGTGCTCATGCAAATCAAAACAATAAATCCACAGTGGTCAGTCTGTTTCTGAGGGACATGGATAAACCCCTTATTTTTAACAGAATCTGAGCACTTTTGGAATCCCAAATCAAGAGCTTGGCATCTATGCTGAGGGATTCAGCTCTGGAGGTCCTGACAGTCAGGTCTGAAAGCCAGCAGCCAGAGGACAGCAGTGGAACCAGACCCTGTAAGTTTCTAGGTCCCAGGACAGCATTTGGAAGGCAGGTTTTCCCTTGGGAGCTGCTTTTTTGGGGGCCTGCCCAGGAGTTCCTGCCCAAGCAGCATCACAAGAGCTGTGGTTAGGGCTGGGTGGGACCTGTGGCTGCCTTTTTGGGCAAGGCTGGTGGCTTGGTCTTCCTTTAGGAGCGGGGTGTAATGGCACAACACAGTGCCATTACAGGCAGAAGGAAGCACAGTGGTGCTAGCTGGAGAATCCTGAAACTCTCCATACAAGAGAACATCCCTTAGCAGGTGCCAAACAAGGAATAAATGAGATGCAAAGCAAGGAAAGGCAGTGCTGCAGACACGGAGGATTCAGCCAAAACCAGCCTGGGTCCCTTTCCTGTCCCTCCCTCAAGGTCCTCGAGGTCTGTGAGAGCTGCCAGAAGAAAAGATAAGGAGTTACAGGGGACAGGTGGAGCAACCCCTCTAGGACATCTTTGGCGTTCAGGCTGTACCTCTCAAGTTTTTTTGTTTTCCTTTTACTGTGCCTCAGTTTCCCCTCCTGAATGTGGAGATTTAAGCATTCCCTCAAGAGGCTGCAGGGCTTGAATCCCAAAGGCTGGCAAAGACTGCTGTAAAATGCTGAGCGAGGGTGAAATAGGGTGTTGGAGCTTTATACTGCCCCTGCCACCTGTACAAGCTCTAATTTAGTGACCCCTGTGTTGAACCAGAACTGCAAACTTGCAGCACAAAGGCCCCTGCTCTACTCAGATGCTTTGCCTGGCCACAGGAGGGAAAGAAAGATGTGAGCAGAGGCAGCAGCTCCCTGCCCCTGCAGGAGGGCTTCCCTGAGAGCCCTGGCACTCAGCAGCACCTCTCCCTCCCTGAGGGAAGAGGAAAACCTTACGTCAAGCCACAGAAATGCTTCTCAGCCCTACCCAAACCCTTGGAGCAATTCCCAGGTGAGGCACAGCAGCAGCAATTCCTCCTGCCAGCCAACCCTTATCCTCCCCTGCTGTTGCCTTTGTGGCCAGCCCTGGTACATGGAGCTGTGGGTGCAGGGCTGCTCACTGGGCTCTACCAACTGAGCATCACCTGTGAGTCCCACTGACCACAGTCCTCATCCAAAATACAGGTGGTTCAGCCACAGCCCCCACACCAAACCTGCTGGCAGTGCCCAGGGTGCCAGGGCAGCAGGAACAGACCCTGCCTCTGTGCTGCCCATCCCAGACCATGAGCCCTGAGAAACAGCCTGGCCAAAGATACCCTATCCCAGATTTGGAATAAGGGGGGACCTGTGACATGTGGTGTCCTGGCTCCTGTGGCAGTACTGTGTTTCCACAATGGTCACTGGCCTCCATCAGGCAAGTCCCTTCCTAGAGTCCCTTCCTAGGGCTTCTCCTGCAGACAATATTTCATCTGCTAAGAAACAAGCCCTGAAGAGGGCTAATAAGAGCTCTGTGCTGTGATTGCTCAGCCAGGGCTGATGTGTAAATCCAAAGGGGCAGCATTTGTGCTTGGCTAAATTCCTAGGCAAGTAAGGATGCCCCAAGCCCTCCCTCACCCATCCCCACAATCAAGAACAAACCCCAGGAGAGAGGAGGCTGTGTTTCTCAGATGAAGACAACCAAAGGGACATAGCAGGTAGCACAGTCCTTCCCCCACAGCTCCAGGCCCCTCCAAGGCAGGAGACTTCTTACCCTGCTGAGGCTTAGGCTGTTCTGGCAGCTCCATGGAGAAAACTGTTGAGGGAACAGGTACCTGATCCATGGTTTCTTGTCTCTGCAGGCACCATCCAAGGACTCTTGTGGAGCCCACTAGCTGCTTGCAGGAGCTGAGCATATCTCAAGGTGCCTTTCAGGCAGAGGGAGCAGCACAGGCAGCCTACTCAGGAGCTGACATGCAGCAGAAGATCAGCTCTTTCTTTAATTCCATCTTGGAGCTCATCCGTACCAAGCATGAGGAAGGCGTCTTCAACACCGTCTGCCTGGCCGTGCTGTTGGGTCTGCCCTTCGTTGTCCTCCTCGCCTTCATTTTCATCTGCTGCCACTGCTGCTTCTGCAGAAGGAGGGGAGAAAGCACTGGGAAAGGTGGCCCCAGCAGCAATGGGCAGCTGCATGCCGAGAGGAACAAGAAGAAAAAGAAGAAGAAGAAGAAGCAGGATGAAGAGGACCTGTGGATCTCAGCTCAGCCCAAGCTGCTCTTGCTGGACAAGAGACCCTCCTTGCCCATCTAGCAGACAGGAGGGTGTTCAGGTCCTCTCCTCTGAGGTGCCACCATTCCTTTCACCTGTGCACCAGGAGGGGCGAGGAGACACCAAAGCTTCTGCCACTTTGTGGTGACTTGACAGAGGCTGACCACAGCATGCTGAAGGGCCAACAGGAAACAAGGCACAGGTTGTGCAAGCCTCTTCTCCCCCACCGTGACAGCATGCCCCGGGGCAGAGACCCCTGCAAAGGACAGGTGAGCACACAAGGGTGACTGCCACCGGGTCCTACGTCCCTCCTGCCACGAGCACAGTGCACACACGTGGGGCTGGCACACAGCGAAGGGCGTGCGAGGCTCTCCCTCTGCGCTCAGCTGCCAGCACACAGACAGGGGTGCACAGGACAGCCTTCACCCACAGACCAAGCCAGCTGCACGCTCCCCCTGCGCAACACAGACTGCTGTGAGTGAAGCAGGCACAGACACACCTCCTTTGCTTGCCCTGCCATGGAGGTGGCACAGCTTCACTGTCGAGGCTCCGTCCAAACCCAACTCGCTTTATAGACACAAAGCTGAGTTACCCCACAGCTTAAAGATGTGCCATCTACCCGGCCACCAAACCAAAGTCTCTTGTGAGCACCTGAAGCTAGATGCCCTCAGCACAACCTTAGAGACCTCAGACACCATCCTAAGGCAGCACAGCAGAAGGATGCCTTGCCACCTAGGTTAGAGGCAGGAAGGAGAGAGGAGGCTGCCAGACCAGCCCTTTTGCACCAGCACTTAAGAAAACACCTTCCTTGAAAGACTGTTTAATACAAACTTGCCATTAAAGAGCTCACCATGCTGCTGCAAGAGCAGAAACACAACCTGAGGCTGTGTAAAAGCTTTGCTATGGGCATTAGAGTTATTTATTAAATGACTACTAAAGAAGAGCAGGACCAAAGGCCCCTCTGGAGTGAGCCAGGGACATGGAAGCAGTATTGAAGCAGCAGACATGGTTTCCTGGCACACTCAGCCATCACCTCTCCCTGCAGCCCTTGTGCCATGTGTCAGACACACACACAGACCCATGAGCAGGTGCTGCCCCAGCTGATGCCAGCTCTGTGTGCTGCACTGAACATTTCTGTATGGCTGTCAGGCTGACCAGCTCTGGGATTTTGAATGTGCTGTAGAAGCAAAGTAAACTCCATGTGCACAGTCATCCCTTACACAGGGATACATTATACAGCCAGACTATGCACCTCTCTCCATCCTCATGTTCCTTGGAAAGATGGTTCAGCTGGGCACAGCAGCTAACAGGACCACACGCAGCTCTCATCCCTGCTCTGCTTCCCACCTGCCCCACCCTGCCTTGTGTTCCCATCCTATGTCCCTTGAGCTGGGAGTCTCCTGTGCTCCCCACTCTCTGCCCCACCAGGCTCTGTCTCCCTCAGCTCGTTTTCCACTGAGGGATGCACGTGTGTGATGAGAAGCCTCATCACATCTGGGTTTTGCCGTCTGTACACTGGATGTCTTCCTTCCATTTTCTTCCAGTTCTTAAGCTGCTGGAGCAGACCAGAGCTGCCAGCCAGAGCCAGGCATCTGGGGAACAAGCAGCCAAACCCACGTGGGCAAGCCTGGACAGAGCTGCTGGGTACAGCTGCTTCCAGCCCGGGCAAGGGTGATGCCACCTTCCCCTCACTTGGAGGACAAAGCCACCAGCTGGAAGCAGCTGCTTGTGCCACCCAGTCCCAGCACAGCCTGTTTTGTCCAATGCAGGCAGGGCTGTGATGGTCACATCATGTCACAGGGTTTGGCTGCATGTCACAGGGTTTTGTGCTGGGAACAGCCATGAGGCTGGGCTCCTCCTCACACAGCCCTTTAAATTGACCCCATATGTGCCTTATTTTCCAGTTTGCTTTGTCACCATTGAAATCAGTGACTCCCTTCTGCTCCAAAACAGGAAGCAACATATTATGGTATAAAAATTAGGATTTGCCACATGTCATGCTAGGAAATGCAGAAATAGCTCTGATCTCTGTCCCAAGCTCCCAGTCTAGCCAAGATCCTGGAGAACTAGCATTGCACTTGTATTATTCCTTCTTCCTTCCCTCCTTTCCCCCATCCAAGTGCTTTTCTCAGCCCTCCTGCCTCCGCACTCTCCAGGTGGCCAAAGGAACCCATGCAGGTGCTGTGATCCAGAGGCAGCAGCAGCCCTGAGGCAGGGTGGTGCTGCCTGAAGGAATCAAAAAAAATCAGAGTAAAGGGAAACACGATGGGAGGCCAGAGGCTCAGCCAAACAAGCAGGGGCACGGAGGCAGCGAGCACCGTCAGAGTACAGCCTACCTGGTGTGGAGGTGCCAGCCTTTGCTGGGCTTCCTGCAGGAAGGCTTTTCTCCAGAAAGCATAGCAAGTAACTCTTCAAATGGGGGCAACCAATTCCTACAAGAACCAGAGAACTGCCAGGAAAATGTGAGCTTTGGATCACACACATCTCCAGATCCAGGCTTTGGGGAGTTCAGAGCTAGGTCTGAATTTCAAGGGCTCCCCAAAATCATCATTCAGACCACCCCTGGGCTGGGCAGGGAGGGACCAGGATACAACCCTGCCCTCATCCATCCAACCAGTGGATGATCTGAGCCTCCACACTCCCTAAAGCACGGGGTTGGCTTCCTTGGTGTCTCCTGTTTGAGCCAAACCATGCACTGAATTGGCTGCTTCTGGAGGAAAAAGCAAAAGAGCAGCAAAAGCCTGAGGTGCACTAGAACCTGTTATCCACCAGCTGGGCAGCAGCAACCCTGCAGCACCCATATTAACCAAGGGGGCAGAGATGCACAGTACAGAAACTCCTGCTCTCCAGACACCCCAGCCCTGCCTCCCACAACTGCATTTCAGTATCAACCTTCAATTTTCCTGAACAAGTCCATGCAACAGGGAACAACAACAAAACAAATCTTGTGCAATTTTTTTAAAACCAAAAATAAATGACTCTTAAACTGCAAACAAACACTGTATTTCGATCTCTTGGTCATGTGTTTATTTTCCTGGGGAAATCTTTCTTGTACCTGTGTCCTGGCTGTAGATAAGACACAGGGAGAGCTCAGCAGCAGAGGCTGTGCAGTGTCTGCCTGCAGCCAGCTGTGCAGCTTAGAGATTTTTTTTAAAGAAACAGCTTAACTTAATCAAGTTAATGGCCTTGCTTTGTTAATGAGCACAGCCAAGCTGCTCTACCCAAGGGCAAGAAGTAGTGGGAAGAACAAAAGGTTTGTGCTGTGGGAGGTGGGCTGCAGGTTTGTTTTTTCTTACAGAGGATCAGCAGCACGGACTAGTTAACCCCAGTTGGTTTTGATCAGACAAGTATTTCATGGTGTCTGCAGCTTGCTGGGCAGAGCCTTTCCAAATCCTACACCATGGAGCTCTGCCTCTGTGAGGGCAAAAAATAAAAACCTGCTTCTCATCCGGATGAGCCTCCAAGCTGCCCCTTGCCCACAAAGCTGAGGCTCCGGAAGAGGCTGGTGAAAGAGGAGTGCACTGCAGCTGGAGCTGAGCAGCTAGAAATGGCAGAGGTCCACTTCCTGGAGAAGAAAGAAGCTTCTTGCTTCTCTCCAGATGTTAGACACTGGATTTAGGGCAAGGTGTTCTTGGGTAGCCTGGGCTGCAAGGGGAAGGGATAGTTCCAGAGTCCTAGGTTAGATATATGCAGTGGCTGAGATGAAGTTTAGCATTGTGGAGCAGTCTAAAGATTGAAGGGAAGCAAAAATGCCCATTAAAGCCCTCTATGGTGGAAGAATTGGATCCTCACTGACCATTCCACTATTTATTCAGCCAACAAAGCCTAGAGCAGTGACCAACAGTGACTGTACTGCTTTCCAAATAAGTGTCCAGTGCAGGAAGACACTTCAGGCTTCTCTCCAAATCACAACAACACAGAAACACACAGTATCTTTGGGAAGAGGCATCCTCTCCCTCCTCTTCCTGGGTGAATACAGCAGCATTTCTCTGGGGTCCCAGAAACAGCAGATATATCACAACAGGTGGGTCCTGGCTGGTAGGACCCAGCTACAGGATCAACACAGTGATGCCAAAGCCTTCTGGGATTCAAATTCTGTCCCAGATGTGTTGCAAATCAGTATATAAACTTTTAAGTGATCTCAGAGCGAGGCAAAGGTTTTGAGAATGTATTGGCCCTCCAACATCACTGTTACAGGGCCACATATTACAGCAAAACAAGTGTAGTAAAGGGATGTGACCTTTTTATGGCACTACCCCAACCATCCTGAGCCTCAAAACCAGAACAGCCAGTCCCTCAAGGCAAACAAACTGCATTATCTGAGCAGTCCCAGCCTCCCGGGCTGTAGCACAGGCTCTAGTTAACCCCAAAAAGGTCCTTTCGCAGAGGCCAGCTGGATACCGGGAAATCTCTCCTGCCTGAAGAGACAATGCCATCCTGTGGCTGCTCGGGAATACTGACTTTCTGCTGCGGTTTTCCAGCAGCTCTCACTTTGCCCTTCTTGGTGAGAGAGGAGCATTAGGAGTGCTAGACAGACCATCCTCAGAAACTGCAAATGAGGTGCCTCATTTGCCCTTAGCTCAAAAACAAAGCTTATACTACTTAAGGGAATATTCCCTGCTCCCGGGGGGATTCAGCTTTAGTTTTTGCTGTTTTGCTGCTGTTCTTATTTTTTGCTGTTTTGCTGCTGCGCAGGAAAAAGTCACAGGTAACAATCACGCCTGCTGTTTTTTAGAGCATACACTTAATTTTAGAGTGGCTGTCTGTGAGACTAGTCCTCCTCTCCCTCTCAGCCACCTTCCTGATGACTTCACCGAGCCCTTTAACTGAATAACAAACTGAAATCTGTCCTTGCCTACAGACAAGTGGGCAACAGGGAGAAAACACTTCACAGTAAAGAGCCCTTCCCCGTGTCCTTCTCTCATGCTCTTAGCACAGAGCCTGCAAAACACTTCAAGTACAATTTTCCTTTCTACTCCTCTCACCATGAGTCTCCTCCCTCCCCCAGTCCAGGGCTTGGATAGCCTAACACAGCTCAGATGAGTCTCTGCCCACCCAAGAGGCACAGCCCTGAATGTTGGACGAAAAATTTAGTCCTCACCTTTGAGAGACAACTCTCTGGCTCTCCTCAGCCAGGTCCTAGCAAGCACAGGTCAGTTAAGCACTTCACAAAGTTAAGTCACAAAGAGAGCACAATCCCCATCCCTGTTTTGGAGCAGACCCCAAAGACCTAATCTGCACAGTCCCACTCCAGACCTGGGTAATGCTTTCATTTCATGCAAAATGCTTAAATAGGAAGAAAAACAATTCTACCACCCAAAGCAAAGAAGACAGAAATATTTAAGACCCCCTTTATTTGTGAATTTTTTACTTTCTCCAATGTCTGGGATGGATTCTTTAAAATGTATTACTCAGCTTAGCACTGCAATAGAAAAGGCCATTAAGACATGGGACAACCATGTCCCAGTGTGCTCAGACAAGGAAGCTTTTGAACAAGCAGCATTTGGCTAGCTCATACTTCTTCCCTGGCTGGAGCTGGCTGTCCAGAATGTGAATGTCTTATCAGGGGGAAAAAAAAGAAAGATCACCTTTATGGCTGTGAGTGAAAAAAAAAAAAAAAAAAAAAAATCAGTCAAATGTGAAACCATGCACTGAGGCACACAGGATTAGTTTAACTCCAAGGGACGCTCATTTTAGAGGTGGATGACAAGTGTTATCATTTCAGCATCACTACCTGCCACACTGCTGATGAAAAAGCAGAAGGCAGCAGATGGAACAGTCACATAGGGAATTTGGTTAACTGTCTGTAAGCAAGCAGTACAGAGAGGTAGGTCTGGGATGGTGAGCAGAGCCTGGAGGAGAGTGGACCTTACATTCACCCTGTTCTGGGCCTCACCCTGGAGAGTGAACATCAATCTACTGCACATCTCCTTCGTATTTTCTCTGGGCTGGGAAAAATGACACAAGCAAAACAGCAAGATTTTAACCTGCAGAGATGTGATACTGGAGGCTGAGGAATCTAGTCAACAGAACACACATGGGTTAGTGAGCCTTGCCAGCAGACTGGCAGTGTTTCCCAAAACCCAGTTCTGCAGGAATAATAGGGAATGTGCCCAAATAATGAGGAGAACTGCAGACCAAAATAGTCTCAGAAAAGTTCACTCTGATGTAAATTAGGAGGCTATTATTTGTTAGTAGGATCAAATTTATTTTTGGAAGTCTGAAATGGATGGCACCAGAGAAAGACAGAATTAAGAGGAGTCTGCAGCCCAGGCTTCAGAAAGAAAAACATGTGTTAAGGCTTGTTTTACATAAAGTTCATAGAAGTCGCATGTATTGGATCAATCAGGTCCTTGTCATGCTTAGCCAAACCAGAGTATCTACAGCAGGATCCCCCACAAACCCCCTCCTAGTCTCTGGAACATCACCCACCTGGAGCTCCAAAGCTGCTGGCAGGTTGGCCTGCAGATCCAGATGCCCCTGGGTGCACACTGGTCAGCTATTGCATTGGAGAAAGCTGTCTGAATCAAACTTTGTAAAGAAATACTGAATCATTATCTTTGGGTATTGTTCTGCAGAGAGTTCTATTTAATCCTGATTCTCTGATAAAGACTTCTTCCTCCTCCCCATCATTGGCTCATTACTGGAAGACTGAGGACAGATCTTCATCTCCATAAAAGAGATGGAGAATTCATGTCCTTTCCATGACTCCCAGTTCACACCCTGGAAAAGACCAAGGAATTTCTCTTACTAAAGTGCCCAGATCAGGTGCTAGGAGTCTACCACTGCCCACCTCAAATACCATTTGTTATAAATGAGAAGCTTGACTAGGCCAATATTCAAGCAGCAATCAATTCATTAATTAATATGGTAAAGTATGAGCAATACAGTGCTGGGTACAGCGGGGGAAGTTTTCCCCCCAACTGCACACTGATAGTTGAGACTTACAGATATTTATAGGGGTACTCATAAGCTTTCTCAGCAGTTTCTATTCCAAATTTTTACGTCACAATTCTATACACTATTGTGATTTAGTTTTTCTCAGGATGTATCTCAGAAAGGAGTATCCCCAGATGGTGGGGTCCAGCTCCCGAAAGAAGAAAGAAGTCTCCCAGTTGGTGAGGTCCAGATTCCAGATGTGGGTCCACCTTTTAATTCCAAGGACTATAAATCTCATAACATTGATGTCCACCTTCCCTTGGTCGAAACTATCAATCCTTGAGGTGATGTTCATCTTCCTTTCTCAAGCTGCTTTTCAATATTTTGTTAAGGCATCGAGATAAGCATGTTTCCTTTTAATATATTCTAAAGCTGTAGTTTCAAAGATCCTTACTACAAGCAATATTCTAAAATTATACTTCAAAAGGTTATTGCAAAACTCTTTTTTAGCTACAAGCAGAAAGTTCCTGTCAAACAGCAACATCTTTAAAGCTTTAATTCAAATACTCCTAAATCAACTTAAGACTTATAAAGGTTAATTGCAAACAAAGAATAGGTTCAAAGGCCTTCTTCCATGCTTTACTTCCTCAGTTATTTATTAGAATTGTCTTTATAATTGTCCCATGGTCAGTTTCCACACATATCACAATCACAGATACACACGTTGCCTGTGTGTACCTGACACGAAACACAGCTTTGTATTTCACACATTTAACCCTCCAATAAACAGAGACTTTAATTATAATCAGTCTTTCGGCCACTTTTAATACAGATCAAACCTCTGTCTTGGAACACAACAGGACTGAGCCACCTTCAATCTCAAATTAAGCCTGTACAGTGAGATGTACCCCAAGCATGCACTAAAAACCAAAGGAAAGGCTGCATCAGACAGCGAGCAAGCATCCCAGTGTGGTTCCTAGTGAGTGTTCCTTTAGGTGTTCCCCTCAGAGACCAAGACAGCTCCACCTCAAGTATCTCTGCCCACAAGAAGCAGGGAGCCATGAGCTCAGGTCCTCTGGACCCAGGGAAGAGAGAGTGAGAGCTGTAAGTTTTG